GGAAGTGATAGTAAGAAACGACAAAAGGATAATTGCAACAACTCTTACATATACAACGACGAAGCCATCAATGTCAACAAGAACAGGAACAAGAACAATAACACGACGACGATTACGACACTGCCAGCAGTAGTTGAACAATACATTCCTTCTCAACACCCTTTGCAATAAATATAAAAAGCAAGCAAGCAAGCAAGCAAGCAAGCAAGCAAGCAAACAAGCAACCAAAGAACCAACCAACCAACCAACCAACTAACCAGCCAACCAAGCAACTAACCAAACAAACGAACAAACAAACAGCGACATTCAACTGTAGCAGCACCACCTGTCTCCACTCCCAGCCCTGGGAGTGGACAATTATCTACTTCCATCTCATCTGGAGAAATAAGCCAATAAACCGGTCTGGACGTTTTCCCCACTGAGATGGGATCTAGGTTTGTTTTACCTCCTGGCGGGTGCCACCGGAAGCCGCAAGATGATTTCCGGAGCTTTCAAGGTCAAGGACTTTCCACTCTTTTTTGTTCCCTCTCGTTATCATATAAAGATCGTCGGCCACTGTGGTCCTGTCTTTTACGAGTTCCGAGGCGGGAGTTTGAGCTTCGAAGCCGAGAGGGATCCGTATGTAATTTTCTTTTCCTTCCTGGACACCAACCCTCAAACCTCAATGGTGCAGAGTTCTGGCAGAGAGCCAAGTGCTCAACCTTCGCTGTAAGATATAAAGTGTCTTGTAGAAGGCGCTGAATTTCAACAGCAGCACCGTTACCTCCATAAAGAACAAGTATGGTACGACTTCAATTACTATGAGTATGACATTGTTTCAGTGGACCGCTGGAGGACTCTTCTTAAAGTTTCTCAAGATATAACTTTTCCTTTCCTTTTGTGTTGATTGTCAATTACTTCATAAGTAGCCTTGTTGTGCTTGAACACTAAAATTAGTATGGCCAATGCTATATCTAGCGTCACCAGGCCGAAATTTGGACTACCTTAGTCTACTCCACTTCTGTTTAGTTCGAGTAAAGAGATGCACGTCGATACGAGAATGGCCGTCTAGTCCACTGAAAACCCCCCACAGACGGACAGACACTACACTGGAAAGAAAAGAGTACAGCCTTCCAGTACTGCCTTCCAATCAGCCTCTATTTTTGTTTAGTAGAACGTCAAACCTTTCTAACAAAAGAAGTTCTTCATTGCAAATAACCCTCCATCTCCTCCAATCCCCGCTCCACCCACCCATAGTCTCATCCACAACCCACGTACCTGACACACATAAACCGCACCACCCTGATTCTGACCGTTTGAACTTGCGGAATTCATCAAGTACAATTAGCCTTTGGCAAGAAAACGAGACGTCTAGGGCCAGGTCACCAACCTAACAGCTGATACTAATTGATTACAGACACTGAGGTACCCAGCAATACCTCGTACCTCGAAGGGGTCTTGCAAACAAAACACTCGTCACATCAACACTGATGCTCGGCATCTAATTGAACATACACAGCTGCTGGTTAATTTGTCGAAAACCTAGAGAAATGTCTTTTGCTTCATCATAACGTTAGTCGTATACAACGGCCCCAACACTGTGGACAAATAGAAGGTATTATGATTTGACCAAGCATAACAATAAATTAAGCTGGTTTGGCTATAAAAACAACAAACTGGTAGAATGATATTTACTGATTACTTACTCCCGAAGCCTCTTTCAAAAAGCCGACACGGCGCGCCCTGTTCATAATGTTTTTGTTACAGGAGTCTGGAACAGGAGTCTGGAAATATCGTTATACTAGATTAGGGGCTCACATTGGGTAATAGTTAAAGTGTATACAACGAGCTGACATCTTTGAACAAAATATAGAATACGCTTTAACAATAATAAGTACCGTATAATCCGATGGTCATGCCGTGCAGTTACCCTGTACTGCAAACTATTTTTATTTGACTACTTTTATGCCAGAATATCCCATTCAACATCAAGCACCATCTCTTATGTTGTGCGTGTACTTTGTACTTAAACAATAGCTTTGCGCCGAACTGAAAATAGTGAAGGTAATGCCACATTTAACTTCTACCAAAACAGACTTTAAGGTATTCTCCCTTCCCCCCTTTTCCAAGCAAACTACATTTTGCTTTTGTAACAGACTGCGGTAAATATAAGTGTTTTTTCTTCTCCGTGATGTCAGCATCCGCCATGGGTCACATGATCTCGGACACCCTCCACTACCTGATCCACCAGTACGTCTGCATGAACTACGATATCGTGCTCTTCACCTTGCCCATAGCTTACTTCGTCTGGCTACTGCTCATCAAAGGTGTGTCTATGTCAACATAATTTCTTTCAAAGTATAAGGCTATTCAGTTATTTTTAGTAAAGTGTTTCCCCCTTCCCACCCCCACCTTCATTTCTCCCCCCCTCTCTGTCTCTCTCTCGCTATGTCTGTCTGTCACTCACTATCTATCTATCTATCTATCTATCTATCTATCTATCTATCTATCTATCTATCTA